ATTATTAATTATAATCAAAATTCTTCCCTAACTTAAGTGAATCCTCCTCTGAAAACGTCCCTATTTATTTTAGGATTGGCCCAATACTCAAATTTGTGGCAAGCAGAATAATTATATATATTTGTTTTGACAGTAAACAAGCTATTCTTTGTGTCTCTGAAAGAGATGATTCTCAACTTCCCCCTGCACAGCAGCTTAAAAATCTGAGCAGACAACCCTACTTCAGGGCAGTTTGTAAAATGGAGAACTGGAAAGAAACAAAGTCTAGCAGCAAGCAGGAATTCCCACCTTTCCAAGAAGAAAGCTAGCTTCTATTTAATACAGAATCAATTTCTTCCTCAGAAAGAAAGCAGCAAATAAGAGTCAAAGTGCAAATCTAAACATACTACTTTTAACATACAGGTGAAACTTAGAAAATATCTATATTAAAATTTTCTTGTTTCTGGAGAAAAACTTTTTTAACCTATTCTGTCTTCCTATATTTCTAAACCATCTGGCAAGATCCGACCTGTGCTCAAGAAGGTATTCTCACACACTCACCCTTCTCCAAACCATATTTAAAAGCTGACCTACCTTCCAATGTTCTTCATGCGCATCTTTGCTTCTGGAGGCATTTCTTCTGGTTCACTCTATAGAGAGAAAGGAGGTTAGAGTGTGACTGGCCGCTATCTTTTGAACATTCCAAATGCCTGACAAGATAGTATGGACTACAGCCCTACAGGAAATCAAAGTGACTTAGGAAAAAACAGAGGTTCTACAAGGTTATAGAAAGAAATACAAATTCCTTTGTTCACCTCTGTGTAAGACAGAGCAGTAACACAACAATAATTAGCAAACCAGAAGCAGCACAACTTTTCTTCACCTCCCCTTTATCAAGCCCAGAGAAAGCGACCATTAATTCAAATTATGCTGTGCATCTCATTTTCAGGGAGAAGTTATCAGCACTTTAATGATTTCTTGAACCAACACAGAGCTACAAAGTTGTACAGTCTTAAACAGAAACACAAGAGATGTTTGTAGGTTGAAAATCCCTGATATTTATGTAAAGAACCTTAAATGACCCACTCTCTCTGCCTAACTCTAACCCACAATGGTACTTTAAGTTGTGTTGATCGCTAGCTTATTACTCACATCTTCATCTTCATTGAAAGCTGCTGCTACAGAAAGGGTTTTTGGAGCAAGGGTTGGAACAGGCTCTTTCGGCTTCTGAAAAAGACCAAATGTACAAGTAAAGTAAGTCTACCAACTCAAAAGAGCTACCCTTGGTATTTTAAATATTTTGGAAAAATTACATCAAACTTCTTCACCGAAATGGGCAATGAGGGGGGAAAATGTTTTTGTTTGAATCAAGCAGATAAAGGTTTCTTTCTAATGAGAAAGGAAAATGGCTGTTCATTTGTGCATGATACACTCTGAAAAGGAAGTTGAGCCCTCTCATATTACAATTCCCCAAAAGCAAGTCTTAACTTTCTAGCACACTGCAGGGGTATGCAGCCATTGGTGCATGACACGAACAATTAAATGGGAATCTGAACAAGTTGTGGTATTCAGAATTTTACTATGTCACCGTTTCCATTATTCTTTTCGAGTACTCTTATCCATCAATGCCAGGAAGATGAGTATGTTTATTTTCTTGTCTTTTAACAACACAACAGCTTTCTGGCTTAAAACAATTCAATACTTTTTAACCAGCATCAGTGTGCATCACACAGTCCAATTAATATAAGGCTCCTTTAAAAACCAGTATTTTGATTTCCAATAAATACCTTTTTCTGTTTAAAGTGTAAGAAGCTATCAAACTCACAACTGTTACATGTAATAGCGATATCGAAAGTAACTTCAAGACCACTAAGAACGCACTGAGTCATCAGTAACAGTTTGCTTCTACAGTACTACCAATTATCTACATCAATCATATACAATGCTTCCTCCATTTTGTCTTTATTGGTGATCATTTCACATAAACTCATAGTTTCAAAGCTGATACTGCAGCAGAGTCCTTATGTGACTGTCTACAGCTATTCCTCACCAATAGTGTATAACTTACAAATATTGTGTCATTTTTTAAAGCACCAGCTCCACAGGAATGGGTAACAAGGGAGTAAAAATGACTAAAAAGAAACTGGACAGTGCTGAAACTTATCCTATCTGCTGCACTGTCAGTCACCCACTAAATTCAGTGAGCCAGAAATCCTGAGCCAAATTTATTGCCACTGGAAGTATATTTCTACATGAGAAAACAGGAGCTTGCTAGTGGCTCAGAGAAGGCAGCTTTGTCAATTTTTCCAAAGTCTGAGCTGACCTGATTGCATTTATACCCTAGAATGCTGCCAGCCCACATCTCCCTCCCATCTCAAAATAACAGAGCACTCTTTTCATCCTTTGCAGATCTGTAAAATGCTGGCATTGCAGGTGCAAGCCTTTCATGATTACAGTTTGAATTTAATCCAGACAAGGATTTATAATGTATCCATCACAGTGGTACGTGGCAAGTGTAAATGAACTGTATTAGAGAGGCAGCATCTGCCTTGTCCTTGCCCAAGCTAGTAGAGGACTACTTTGGTAGTAAAGAGAAGCATCAGATTCACATCTGAACAAGCACAAGGATACCTTGTACTGGACAATAAAGGGGATCAGAATTCTTAGGAACCTACGTAACGAAGCTTCGTCTCTTGCACATAGTATAACTGAATTACACTGACCTTGCAAAGAACAGGCAAAGTCACTGAAAAATAAATTGTAGTTCCCCATGCTAAAATAAGATCTTTGGAGTGGAAGACAACCTATTAAGCCACCTAGAAGAGTACTTGCTTTCATGAAGCTTTAAGCATCCTATGCAAGGAAGCTCCCAGCACTCACTTCAAAGTAGCCTGAACAGTTTAACAAGTCTGCTCAATTCCCTCAGGAAATTATTCCAGACTTATCAAATCTCATTACAAAATTATTCTGTATGTTCAAAGATCTACAGTTCATTTCAATCAAGTCTTATACTTCCTGAGACAATTGACCTGGTATTAATCACCCTGAAGTACTTACACATGCATGACTGGCTAGCCCTGCAATGCTTTCTTAAACTTTGTCCAAGTTACCCACATATAATTCAAGGCTCTCCTTCTGCAAGGAAGCCTCCCCAAAGTACTTCCCCCTTTGCCTCACTTCCCTTAAAACTAAAATCCCTTGGACAACTTACGTTTGCTCCTAGTTTGATGGATATTGCAGATGCCTTCTTTGCTGTCTGACTGCCTATGGAAAATCCAAACTTGGACATTTTGGCAGGAGCAGGCTTTGTGGTGAAGTCTTCAGCTTCTTCATTAGCTGCCCGTTTCTCTGCGCTGCGACTCGAACTTTCTCCTCCATTACTGGAAGAAACAGTCTTAGTTTTCACAGGTTTTTCTGCCTCTTCTTCAGGTCCTGGTGAAGTCGAAACAACTTACCAAGATGAGCTATTTTTACTGAGCAGACTGATGGGAGCAGCAACCTCAAAAAGCATTATACTTTGGGTGCAACAGGTAAGGTGTTTTTAGTGACAGCAGTTTCCATCAATGTACATTTAGTGGACAGCAAAACACAAAGAGGAGAAGAAACTGCAAGCACTCCACTACTTGTAAAGAACTTCTTGTGTATGAGCCAGGAAAACAATCTTGAAGCACCATCTCTTTATTTAGTATGGAAGTCAAAGTTCATGTAGTAAATTAAATGTAGATGACTAAATCTTTTTAGGATTTAAGTTGCCATAGATAAGCTTTCATAATTGGAATCCCAATTCCAAATCTAGAGTAGATAATCTAAGTTAAAATTAATTCTACTAAATTTCTATACAAACATGTCCATGCCAGTCTCTAGGCTTGTCTGGCACAATTCTAAAATCATGGAAGTGACTACAGTGAGGCCGGCTGTCTCAATCATGTTTCAAGTCACTGCTTGTCCGCATCTCATCTGTAATAAATCTGCCAAGCTCTGCTTGAGGAAGGAATCAGCACTAGAAAAACATATATATAAATTTCACCTTTTCTGGTTTTGTATAAAGTCATGGAAAACACAGCAGCTGAACAATGATCCACAGATTAAAAAACCACTTAAATAACATTTTCATTCCTATACCCTCAGCTTCTTCAGCTACACCAAGAGACAAAGGTGTCCTTGGAAAACTCATACTGGACATAGCAAATGCTTCAGCAAAAATACATTTCTCTGCTGCTGCAATAAGCAAACCACTGCAGCAGCAGAAGGAAAGAAAAAAACAAAACAAAACCAAACCAAACCCCACGCATTGAGGAATGGACAGGAAAGTGCTCATGCTATCAGCCTAAGAAAAACTGGAGCTAGCACCAGTTCCTCATTATATCAAGTGGAGAACAGGACCCTCCTCAGACCATCAGGGGAGAAAGCTCTTTGCACTGCTCTCTAACAGCAAAAAGCTAGTAAGTAAGATAGAGCAATGGGAGAGAAGCTAGTCTGAATTGGGGGTCAACAAGATTGTAGCTCTCAGAAAAAAAGGAAGCAAACATCAGGAGAAAGAAAAGCTAGGGACACCATCTATACATATTTTTCTATTTCCCAAATCATAAGCAGCAGAGTATACCCTTTCTACCCCACTATTCTAGCTATCAAGAGAATGAGTGATTGGAACAAAAATGGATTTATTATTCACCTTTGGAAACACGGCAGATCACAAAAAAATTAATTACTTCAATCAATTTCACTCTATTAAAAAATGGTACTAGTCTGCACCACTAGAAATCTCACCCAGAGAGTATAGATATCAAAATGAAAAACAAAGAAGGAAAGAGAAACAAGAAAAATTTACACAAGTGACCTTGAGTACTGGTTGTTGTCTTTGCACAGTTTTCCAAACACCAGTCTGCAAGGCTATGAGAAGCTCTTTACAGCTAGTCCATGAAATCACATTAAACAGAATATTCAATTACAAGTCCAGTCTAGGTACACTATAGACTGTAAGGTGATTCAAGGGTAGGTAGATGATTCATTGGCCTTAAAAGTGTTGGAATCATGGGCCTAAAAGTCTTCTTTTTTCATAAGATACAAAATCCACAGCAGGCCAAACCTCAGGGCACACTGGACCAGTCCAGGTTCCTAAGCTAATGCTAGCTTGAAGCTAATTACACTACAGCTTACTTCTTTGACTGCAAATTCTAGAATATTGCTAAGTACAAGATGAAGCCTAGCACAATCTACCCAAATCTGTTTTCTCACCAAAATATTAAACAGCTTCTCTCTCAAAATTAGCTCCTATCACCACTGCATTCTGAATGTTGCTTCTACTAGGCTCCATTCGGAATGAACTATAGACTGCCGAAAGAAACAACCTCCTTACAAAAACTCTTACGTGTTGAAGGAGCTATAAAGGGCGTAGGACAATTGGAGTAGGTGGGGAGGGAGCCGTTGTGCTGTTCTGTTTCTGCAGGAAACAGTTAGAAATGCAGATGTATGTAATCCATGAAACGGGTCTCTCCCATCTCCCATGCCAATGCATATATATTTTTCAAGACATTAAGGCTTCTTTATTATTTATTTCCCAGAGATCTCAAGGAGGTCATACTTCACCTATGGAAAGCATCAGCACTATTTCAAGCATCAGTCTGACCAATGCTCTTTTCATGGACCACAATAATAAAAAGCTGTCCTACTTCACATGTGAGATTTTCTCATGAGTATCAACCAGCTACATAAGTGGACAACTTTCACTTTCTAGGAGGTTTAAGTGACGAGACTGACAGTGCTAACTGCACAGCATTTCAGGATCTCTTGCCCCAGGAGTGGTGGTGGTGGGAACAAACCAGTCACAACTAAGTTAACTCTGAGGTAAACCCCACTGATCTTGGCAAAACCTAAACACTCTAAATTGCTTTCAAAAATCATCAGGGAGTAACTAGCCTTCCTTAGGGCCAGTGTACCATAACTCATTAAGATCATGTTCCAGCACGCCAATCAGTACACAAGATGGTATGGATAACTGACATACTGATGCTGTCTAGTTACTGTATTACTCATAATAATAATAATAATAATAAAAAAAAAAACCCAACCAACCAAAAAACCCTCAAAAAACCCAACAGATAACCAAGAGTCAAGGAACTACCTAAACTCAGGCATTACTGTTTATATTTTAGCAATTATCAGAAATAACATTTACTGTAGAGGCTATCCTAAGTGGTTTACAAGCTTGATCTGATCTTTCAACAGATCAAAGAAATGCCCTCTGCCTACAGATATATTTAAACCAAAAAGAACAGCAAAGGGAAGCTTTATCTTTCCGGAGACACTGTCTTCTCAATTTTAAGGCAGGAGAAGAAACAAGGGAAGAAACATATGATTAAAAATTTTAGGAGAACTAATAATAAGTTGTACAGAAGATGACAGGAATGTCCAATCGTAATATAAATAATATAAAAGCAAACAGAAAACTTGCAGATTGCTGCCAAGCAAAAAACCCAGGATGCTTAAAATAGCAGATAAGTAACATTCACTGTACCCATTTTTAAAAGGTACCGCAGCTGTTAAAAGCTAATCTTTAAGGCGTGGTCTTCATCCTTGCCAGCAGCAACAGTCAAATTTCTCTCAATACACGGCAGAAGTATTCCGTATATTTTTTACCCTGAGAGAAACCACGCATTTAAGTGCGCAAGGAGAAGCTGTTAGATTTTTAAAAACGCTCCTGTAAGGCTGAGGCTAACCCTCAGAGGCGTGAGGACAGCGGGCCCAGACCTCGGCCTCTCCTCCAGCGCAGCCCCCTCAGGCCCGGGCCGCCCCCTCTCCCCGC